ACTGAAACGTGAGAAGGCACCAGGACCGGACGGTTTGTATCCAGCCCTCTTCAAAGAAGGCGGAAATTCCTTGGTGACCCACTTGACTAAGCTTATTGGCACTATGTGGGACGAAGAGAAAGTGCCTGCAGAATGGGGCATGTCGACAGTTATCCCTATCTTCGAAAAGGGTATACGGACGCTACGCGAAAGCCACCGTGGCATCAGCCTGTTAGCTGTGGTATCGAAGGTGCTCTCCGGCGCAGAGAGGCAGATCCGTCAAAGCCAAGCTGGATTCCGTCCTGCAAGAGGATGCATTGATAATATCATCATCCTCCGACAGATTCTGAAACCGCGACACTGCTCCCAGCAATCAATAATGAGTGTATTTTAACCTGAAAGCTGCCTTTGTCTCTATGGACCGTCAGGCACTATGGCAGTGTCTGCGGAACAAAGGCGTCCCCAATAAAATCGTGACCTACCTTAAGGCGCTATACGCCAACTCCCGCGGCTGTGTGGTCTACAGGAAGCTCTCGTTTGAGCTCACCACATCAAGTGGTGTCAGACAGGTCTGTGCTCTTTCACCTCTTCTCTTCAACTTCGTCATTGACACGAACACGGGAGACTCACTCCTCCCCTAACGCCTCTGGGGTCGAGGTCACAGATATCGAGTACGCAGACGACATGCCTGTTCTGGAATTCGCCCCCATCATAATTTAAGCAATGTTAAATAATCTAAATAATCTCACCCCACGGTTTGACATGTGCTTCGCACCTGCAAAGTGTAAGGTGCTGCTGCAAGACCCTAGCAGATGAACCAATTGAGGTAGTAGACAAATACGTTTACGTGTATCAGTCCCGGTGGCCTTGCGAAAGGTGATATTTGCATCCGGATTGTGAAGTGGGATAAGCTTTTGTGAATCTGTAGTGTAGGCGTGACATCAGATTAATCCGTCAAGGATTGAGCTTACAATGCTGCGGTGCGATACATGCTACTATACGGATAAGAGACCTGGCCGTTGCTCGCTGGGAGAGTCAAAAGACTTTCAGTGTTTGGCCGCCGATGTCTTCGTAGCATCGCCCGATTCTGCTGGGAACACCTGATCAGCATAGGTTGCGCTGGCTTGGCCACGTGCTGCGTATGCCAGTTGACCGACTTCCTCGAGGGGTTTCTTTTGCACATTTAAGTGTGGAAACGAGCCCGAGACGGTCAAACGACGATTAAGCAGCGAAGTATAAAAGGCGTTGCCAGCAAACTCAGCTGCGCCGGTCATTGCCCTCTTCCTGGACGGGGACCCCGAGACGGGCCACATCAATGGTCAGAGATTTTGTCAGACATGTCTCATTCGTCCCCTCAATGGCGCTCGTGCCTCCAAGTCATAGCCCCCAGTACGTAGCTCACTTCCAAGTCCCCTACCTAACAGCTCACGCGCCAATTTATCAGCTCCCTCCTTGAATGAGCAGCTATCTGCCCCACTTCCCCAAATCATCGATGA